TTTGGCTGTTTAACTGCTAAGTAAGAGAAAGCAGTTCATTTCCACTTCTGTTTCTCGTCCCTTTACTCTTCCTAGAAAACAATACGATACTAGTTTATATAAATACTTCTCACAATATTAAATTGCATGTTGCTCAGAAAAAGGTTTGTGAGATTTATTTCAGATGGCATCTATGGACCATAATTGCTGTTAGAATTCGCAGAAGCCTAGCATGTGTAGTAGTTATCCATTTAAAACGTACCGAATATGTATTGGTATCACAGATTTTGCAAGTGTTTTTATAGTCTTGTTACAGTTTAAAACTATTTAAAAGTAGGATGTGTTATGAAAAATCTGTTAAAAGTATTTGAAGAAATTGATTTTATGACAGATGTGGTTCCATTTAAAATTTCTACACATCTCGAGCACCTACTCTGTGCTGGGAATTGTTCTAGGTGATTAGAACACATCAGAAACAATGATCCTTTGCCCTGTTGAATAGCTTACACTCTAATAGGAAGGGGAACAGAAATAAGCAACATACATAATAAATTATCCAGTAGAATGTTAGAAGATAATGCTATGGGAAAAATTCGAGGAATTAGGTGGTTGCAATTTTAGAGTGATGAGGATAGGCCTGCTGAGAGGCGAAATTTGAGCAAAGACTTAAAGAAAGAGGGATGACCCTGACGGCTGTGTTGAAAATAGATTATAGGACAATAAGGATAGACTCAGGGAGACAAGTTAGGAGGCCATTGCAGTAATGTAGGGGGAGACGATGGTTATTTGAATCATAGTGGTAATGATGGAAGTAGACAGAATCCAGATAACTGCATCCTGATGGCATCAATGGGATTTTCTGACTAAATGTGTAGATTGGGCATTGAGAGAAAAAAAGAATTACTGTAAGGCAGGCATGCTTCTACATATTTGCAGTTTTGGGGCAAAAGTACAATGGAGGTACCATATGTTTAAATATTTAAAAGTTTTGTTAAATGAAAATATGTCCAGTGCATCTATCTTGACAGAAGAACCTGGAAAACCTGAATTTATGCCAGGACGTAACTTGGGATCAGAGCTGATCCTCAGCCTATGTCCCACCTTCTATCTCTTCCCACCCCTGGCTCTAAACTGTGTGACAAGGGGCCTTCTGCACATACATGTGGATACTGCATATGTAAGGGTCCACCCCCCTTATACATTAGTGCACACAGTAGTGACGTAATGCATTCCTTGAAACAGTCTGGAGTTCATTTTAGGCAGGGTATTTGGAATCCTGAGTACCTGGAGTATAGTCTAGTATGCACTCCAAATGGACATATCTTTTTGACTCCTTTAAAGTGCACAATCCTTCAAAAGCTCAGGGCTCTGGATGAGGGCCTCTTTTGGCCTGGTGTAAGGGCAGTACTGATCCAAGGTTTTTGGCCTGAGCAACTGTACAGATGGATTGCCATTAACTGGGAAGGGGGCTGCAGGTAGAACAAGGTGAAGAAATCAATTTGGGAGCTCATTCATACATTTGAGATCTCTATTGTAGAGATATGTAAAAGGAAAATTTTCCTCTTACAGCACTGGCCTGGAATATATCAAAACTGAAGGCTATTTTTCACTATAGCCATTCTAACCCAAAGTTATTAAAAAACTATGAACTCTAAGTGATCCTGGTACTTCAGGCCCTTATTTAACCGGTTTTATCCAGGAATTTGTTTTAATTTTCTGTGTATATACCTATGGGCCTCTATCCTATGCAGGGTGCCTTTTTTTTTTTTTTAATTAGCAAAATCTATATGAACCCTGCTTCCTATGACCTAAAATCCCCTCAGATTTTTTCTCTCTAGTGAGCTATTGAGTGATGTCTTTACTAGTAAGTGTTCCCTTGCCTGGCATGTTTTTTATTTTTTAACTTTAGTAGTTTATTCTTTGGCAATAAGCAGTTGCATATAAGTTGGGAGTATAAATTTGGGAGTCTTTGGCCTATAGACGTTATTAAAAGTGATGAGACTGGATGACATGAACAAGGGAGTGAGTGTAGATAGAGAACCAAGGACTCAGATTTGGGGCACTAGAACATTAAAAGACTGGGGAGGAGAGGAGGAACCTGTAGAGGAGACTGACCAGAGATGTACAAGGAAAACTAAGTGATGTACTTGAGGCCAAGTGAAGAACTTTATCCAAGAGAAGGAAAATGAACCACTGTCCTATGCTGCTGATAGACAACTTAGTATTGCCAGTTGTAAAATGCAATTTTAATTAGCCATTTCAAATTTGTTTACCAAAGCAATGATTTTTGTCAGCTAGTTTTCTAAGCTTTAGTAACTTTTAAGTGACATTTGTAGGTTTTCATTATGCAGCCAAAGTTTTTTTGAACAGTTAATTCCTGTAATGCATTTCTTATGAATTTATTTCATTGTCTTAAAGGGCAAATATGGCCATTTTAGTGAGTTGGTGGTGACAAATTGAGAGCAAAGTTGTCCTCAATCTATAAAATTCTTACAATACTAAGATTTCCAATAGTGTACTGTGGTCAGTAAGGGCACATTGTAGATTTACTTCTGAGCTGCTCACAAAATTATTAAATTGTCATGACATACCCAACTGGAAATTCTGAGTTTTAAAGTCTCTAGTTATAATTTAATGGGTGTTTTTGAAAACTGTGCTGGCTCTATGTTCAGATATTTTCCAATAAGTTAGAATAGAACACATTTTTGTTGCATCCTGATAAACAGCAGAGGATTAGGTAACAGCAAACATTTTTCTCCTACAAAAATGACTTGTGCTTCTAGATTATATCTCATTTTCAAGTTTGTGTTTTTCCATATGAAATATCTTTCCCAACTACACCTGCCCTCAAAAACTCTGAATTAACAGACTTGAAGGAATTATACTTTCCAGATGAGCTGAAGAATGCCATTCTGTTAAAAGGATGAACAGCTGGTCATGTAGAAATCCTCTGGAATGCTCACTTGTCCTACAAAGGCAGGGAAGGAAACAAACAGATGTTTGGTGTAGTGTTTGTCATTGGTATACAGAATTGTAAATATTTTTTAAGCATAATTTTACTAAAAATCTACAAAATTTTAATAATTGCCTTTCTCCTGAAATGACTGCTAATACATTAGCAATGTGAAGGCTCTGAGATTTGGTCAAGTGCAGTTTAGTGGGAGTCAGGATTGTTGGAACTGTCCAATTTAATCAGATAGTGTTCTCTAGATTAAGAATCTGGACCCTCCTGTGTTTAAATTATCCTTTGTTCTGATTGCTTTGGGATTAAGGTTGAATTTCTTTTTTTTTTTTTTTTTTTTGAGACAG